TTTGGCCATATCAATAGTCATTCAGGTCATTTTCACATGCATTTGTTCGGTTTTGCAGCTGAACAGAATGGAGAATGGCTTCTTTTGAGGTTAAATGAGACAGTGAATTTAATTTGCAGAACTCTGCACGATGAGCAGCAATGGGGTACGCAGCACCAAGGTGGATTCCACCGCCAGGATGTCCCGGAAGCTGTGCCTGAGTAAGTCGTTTTTCTAGTTTTCTGTAAACAAAAATTTTTGTAGCATATTCCTTGAGTACTTGAAGTGGATGTTTATTTTGTAATCTAATTCTTCAACTGTGCACCTGACAACTCCTTCAGTTGTTTTAACCGGTACTGCATCGCCAGTCGGCTAGTCCGTTTGCGACCTTGACATTAGTTTTATCCTTAAAAGAATACCAGTTCGGCATTCTTCCGACAGAATCAGTTGTAAGGCTTTAGCTGCTAGGGGCTGTCTTTGATTTCTGTTGAGCAGCACTGCTTCTTCCTGAGCATCACCGACCCCATTCCACGGCGTGAGCTAAGAACAAACGCTTAAGAATCATACGTAGTAGTTGCGATGCCAGAGTATGTAATTTCCAAGAGAGCGGAAAACTGTCAGGTACACAGGAATCGTGTACCTTCACATCTTCGTTGCTTCAGTATGTCCCAAGCTTGTATTTTCTGGCTGAATTTTGCACCGTTTTAGCAGTATTTATACTTTCGTGTTTCACTTTCTTCTTTTTCCATCACCTTTCCTCTGCTTCATCGCTGTGTTGTTTTCCGCCCTTCGTTTTTTTTTTCCTGTCCATCTCATCCTTCGTACATTGGACTTGCCAGTGAGTTACACGTATTTTCAAGATAAAATTACTTTAGAAATTCACGATGGGCTGCACTTCGCGATCCGATTCCTGAGCGGCAGCAAAAATGGACGGAGCAGACACCGCGCGATGAACGACTCGAGTCCGAGTTGTTTGCTGGCATGAACTCGGGAATTAATTTCGACAAGTATGAAGAGATTCCAGTTGAAGCAACAGGGCAAGATTGCCCTCCACCGATTGCACTGGTAGGACATCATCTCATTGCAACTTCACAGTTCCTGCTCTGTCGTTTTATTTATGCGTTTCTGCGCATTTATGCAAATGTGAAACGCATATTGCGATGATCCTGTCTGAGTGTTTGCCCTGTCCGTCCAGGACTTCAGCTCGGAAACTTGGTAAGCTTTGATGCTGAAATTTTGCCAGTCGTTTCTCTCGCTAAATGCGGCCGCAAGAACTTGACATCAGCTTCTACGCATATCTGAGTCTCGGTGTGGACATGTGAAAATTTTAGCGGAAAATTACTAACTCAGGGATTAAGTAGGCTAGGAAGCCGAAATTTTGGTATTTTGTGTTCATGTGCGGTTCTTCAAATTATTATTTCCTAAGTACGCATGTTTCCAAGCTACGAACAGGTTAAAATTCTGTTGGGAAACTTTCCAACCTTGATCTCGTTATTATTATCTGTCGACATCTTGTTCTTTGTAAAACTTGCATTTTGCAGTGAACCACCGGTCACCGGAAATTATTCATTTGCGGTAATAATGCAGCAATTTTTGCGGTAATCATGCATGCTGGAGGTTAAGTTTTCACGCGGCCGCATGATGCAATAGTAGTGTACCAGACGGCGCCCCTTTTTCTTCTCCATGCATGTAAAGACAAAAACATTGCAAATGTGTACGCGCATGTTAAACTTTAAAGCAGCAACCATTCATATTGGTAACGATCTGTTGCTTCAATTGCACAAAGACGCATGATAAGCTGCCTGAGTTTCGTAGGGTATTCAACTTATTTTTGACCAGTTTTGCCGGCATTACACGCGTTTTTTCTTTGCAGTTTGCGGATCTGAAGCTCCATCCATGGATTGAGGAGAATATTCGCCTGTCTGGCTATGGTCGTCCAACGCCTGTGCAGAAGTATTCGATTCCAACGCTCATGAACAATCGAGATTTGATGTCGTGTGCACAGACTGGTTCCGGCAAAACGGCTGCTTTTCTGGTACCACTCATCAATAACGTCTTGCAAGCAGGCCCTGAAGCTCTTTTCAAGGTATAGTGCTTTGATCTGCTTTCGTTTCACGCTTTTCTGTATTCGCTTTAGCTAGCAACTGCTCCATCTAAATCGAAGCGACATCATCGCCCGGTGATTAGGCTTTTGCTAATTCTGGGATTTGTTTTTTTGCGCTGTTTTTTTTTGTGGTGGAGGGGGGGGGGCGGGAGAATGTGAATTGTAACATCTGCATTTCGACTGTTTTTTTGACTCATCATAAGTTTATCTCTCAGCAATTTTATCAGGTTTTTTGTTGAGGGTGGCCTCCAGCTGTAAATTAAGTGTGACTTTTAAGGAGTTGGATGCGTTTACTTCAGCGCTTTTTTCTCTAACCGCAGAAGGCCTCTTTCACCTGAAATAATAGTGGACTGATAGTCGAGAGCGCTTGCCCCACATAGAAATATTTGGTATTGTCCTATGCGGCGACCATGAAATTTTTGTGAATTTACCAGCCCGATTGGGTGATATTAGGGCAAGCAGGCATATTTCTTAGGTTGCTGTGTTTGGCTTAGTGCTGCCAGCGGAAGAACCAACTCCGGTTTGTTTTGATATTAATTTGGTATTGGTGAGCACTGGGGAATCAAAATTTTGCTATTTACAGTAATGCACCAAAAAGGCCTTTACTTATGGTTGTTACTTTTGCCGATGTGCTACCATCGCAGTACTCTCAAATGCCTCGTATCCTAGAACAAGTTGAATGTGGAGGAAGTTTTGATTCGTCGATTTTAAACTGTAAGAAGCTAGGGATCACTCTATATTCACATCTTGCGAGAAGTGGATGTAATCGGAAATAGCCTTTATAATCGCATTTGCCAACGAAGTGATTGAACTGGCTGGGAAGGTTGTCGACTGTGGCTTTTAAGCAGACTTTTTTTTTTCGAGAATGCTTACAAGCAACTTTTCGGTGGGAATATCTTTCTGGCATGTGCCAATACCATTTTATCATTGGGGCGACTGCGAAAAGATTGAACCGCGAAAAGATTGAATTTCTTCCCAGGGGAAGGAATTAAAATTTCGAGTTTCAGCACAGGAACATCTGCCTGATTCCCTGCTTTGCTAAGCCGTTTGTAGCATCTATGTATGGGCGCCAAAGTAAGGGAAGTGTATAAACAGAGGAAAAGAAAAAAATTAATATTTTGACGCTTTTTTTTTTTGCATCCATCAGACCGTTTATTCGATTACTGTTTGTGTGTGCTGTTTTTCAGTCAACAACACAGCAGAACGGTCGCCGTCGCCAGTATCCGGCAGCACTGATTTTATCGCCAACTCGTGAACTCTCGTTGCAAATTTACAATGAATCGCGTAAATTTGCCTATCGCACACCAATAACGTCTGCTTTGCTGTATGGCGGCCGAGAAAATTACCGTGAGCAAATCAACAAATTACGCGTAAGTAACTGTTGAGATTGTCATTCGGGAAAGATTTTCGTCTTTTCGTCATTGGCTGATCGGTATTTTACTACTCTTCCGAAAGCACTTTTTTTTTTTTTGTGGAATTTTGGATTTGCGATGGCTTGCCGGCCTCGATGGAGTGGTCAAAAGTTGTTTTGGTCACTGCGTAGTGTCGGCTAGAGAATAACTGTATTGCATAAGACATGCGTATGAACAAATTTGTACCCATGTCAGATATCTTACAAACATACTGTTTGGAGTAGTAGGATAACGGGAAAAATGGACATGGGGTAGGTAGAGAGAAAGGGAAATTTCCAAAGTACTGCCCCCCCCCCCTCTTCACTTTATATCGGCCAAAACAATAAGTAAGCTGACGATTGCTGGGGGTATGGGCAGTCAGTTTTCCATGAAAATCGATTGCCATTGAGATGGAGAAAGAGTAGTTTTGTGAAATTTTGCAAGAATGTTCTGCTGTTCCAGTTGGGTGTGCATATACTGATTGCGACGCCAGGCCGTCTGATCGATGTTATGGAGCAAGGACTCATTGGACTCGATGGATGTCGTTTTCTGGTACTGGACGAGGCGGACCGAATGCTTGATATGGGCTTCGAGCCACAGATCCGACAGGTCTTTCCTCTTTTCAATTGATCCCTCTTTATTATTGCATTGGCTGAATCACTGCGCTAGACGATAGGGAGGCGG